AACAATTGAATACAGTTAAACTTTGCGAAATTATAAAGATTCTTAATACTATAAACTTCGAGAAGTTATAAAGTTTTATTTTTAGTGGGAAACAAAAATTGTTTTTCATACAAAAATTTACTCTTATATTGCAATTTTAGTAAAAGATAAGTCTTTTGAGTGTATTTTGTCACTAAGATTCATATTACAATTGATTTCTTTAATATTTTCTANTTACGATTTTTTGTTATTTGTTATTTTTGAATACCGTGTTATTACGACACGCTTACTTCATAGTGCGTGTGCATATTCTTTCCAATTCTGTATATTTATAATATATTCATTTATAATATATATAATTCGATCTCATAATTTATAATTCGATATTTATAATTCGATCTCATAATTACGCCCAAATGCGAAGCCAAATTAAGCCAAAGTTGCACTTATCACCTAACGAATTTTACTAGTTTTTGATACGCGTAACGCATTTTAGAGCGGGTGAAGCATTTTGGAGTAATTTGGCACAATTTGCGCAGTTATTCCAACCTGAAAATTAGACGAGGTTTATTTTGTAGTGTGTTTTCTTCTAAAGTAAAATAATTATGCATTAAAATAGTTGTAATGTTTGTCATGATTGCTTTGATTCTTAATTAATGTGGACGTAAATAAGAATTAGAAAATTCAGAAAAATATAATAAGCTCAAGTAATCTGTTCTGCAAATTTAGGAATAAATCTTTAAAATTTTTAAATATGAGATGTCTTTTGATAAAACAACTTTATGGCATAAAATGTTGAAAAATATTTTAGTACAATAATATTTAAATAGTAAAATATTTATAATGATTAAAACAATTGAATATAGTTAAACTTTGCGAAATTATAAAGTTTCTTAAGACTATAAACTTCGAGAAGTTATAAAGTTTTATTTTTAGTCGGAAACAAAAATTGTTTTTCATAAAAAAATTTACTCTTATATTGTAATTTTAGTAAAAGATAGTCTTTTGTCACTAAGATTCATTTTACAATTGATTTCTTTAATATTTTCTAATAAATATTTTCTTTATTTATTATGTTTCTCTTATCTGTTTTCTCCTTTCTAATATTAGAAAAATTATCAACATTTATTTAAAAAAAAAACGATTAGCCTGGTTTTCACAGAATTTTAGCCACGGATTTGCCAGAAATGGATTTGCACATGGTAAAAATATAAATTTAGTTAACAAAGGAGTTTTTAGTAAATTTATTAGAATTAATTTTATTTTGTTTAATAAATTCTAGAATCAGTTGATCATTAGAGATAATCCAAGAGAAATCTTCTATAACAATATTGTTAATAATTTTATTTAAGTAGTTAGAGAAAATGGTGTCAGATTTAGTTAGGTAAGTATTAGACCCACATGTGATTGTTATAAATTTAATAGAAATTTCATGAAATTTTGGACTGATAATTAAATAAGGAAATTGTATTTTATTGATTTCAACTTTCAACCTCTCAATATAAAGCTAAATTTTTTTAATGATAATATTATCATTTAAATTACTAAGCTTAGAATCTTTGCTATTTTTTAACTCCTAATTTAAAAGTTCAACATAGAATTTTCTATACAAGATTGTCTATGGGGATAACTACAAACTTTTTTTGTAGTTGCTTAACAGATTGATTAATTTTAGAAGAAAAAAAATTGAATTGTTACTGTCATTTAAATTTTCCTTATTATTAAAAACAAGGTTTTTAAAGCAATAATAAACATCCTATTTCCATTCTGTTAACATACCTAAAGGTACAGAGAATCTATATTTGATATCTTTAAACAATAATTATTAAGATCATTAAGAAAGCATTTTAGAATTTTAATGATAAATGGTAAATGGGTCTAAATGAGGCAAAGTGTTAAAACACATGGTTGAGAAAACAACCTTATCCTGAAAAAATAAAATAAAAAGGTGTTGTTTTTAAGGGATAGCGGCTTATTCATGGGAAAATTGCAAGGACGCATTTATAGAGATCAAAGGGTAGGAAGAGTGGGACGCACTTCGAAACACACTTATGGAGAACACTTAAAATCCTCGTGTTTTTGGTGGTATCTAGGATTCTGGAATAAAGTCAGTGTAACTTCATTTGAGTTGAGCTATGGGTGAGTGATACATATTTAACATTCGAGGAATTAACTACATGTTTAACTCAAATTAACATGTTGACTGTCGCATCACCCGTATTGGTGTGACGCTTATTTGACTACTTGCGAAGGATATTAGTATGTATTTGAAAAGATATTTCACAGGAAATAACAAAACTATTGAATTGTTATAAAAGTAATAAAAAAAAATTTTATTAAGAAAATTGTGAGCCTCAAAATAATTTCCTTGATCACAGCTATTTGACTCACTAAGAAATAAGTTTTCCATTTAAATGAATTAGGGTAAAGATTATAAGTTATTCTCCTCTTTACTCGACAAATATTCAAACTGATCATGCAAAGTGGGGAGATGAGAAACAGATGCGAAGCAATGGCCAGAAATAAACAGACATGATTACATGGAAACAAACGGAGCTAGATATTATTCTTGTGACCACCAGAGACTCGCATTATTAAAATATTGGTGGAAGTACTTAGCATAATATGCTTCATAGAGCGGTACTCATGGCCTGTAGGATATTTCACTATAAACACGTGCAGCAGTCAAAGTGTCAAACCAGTTTTAAGTTTGAGACCTCTTACTCCAGTTAGTGATAATGATATAAACAATCTAAATGTATTAACATCCTTTAATTCTTTCTTAGGGAAAATTATAACGTCTTCCCCAGAAAAATTAGATGATTCAGACAAGATGAATTATCAAGAACTAATTAAAAAACGAGTTTTAAAAGCGATGGTAATGGGAATATGTTCAAATTCACTTCAGTAGCAAATTAAATTATAAGAAATTGGACAAATTAAATTATTAGAAATTGAAAGGGAGTTGCCTTGAATAGGAGGCACTGGTGTTTGTCAGCTGTTGAGGCAGTTAAGGCCTGCAAGGGGCTGTTGTGTTGACTAAGAAGAAGAAGCAAATTAAATGAAAAAGCAGACAACCCTTTTCAATTTGTAAAAGAGCGGGTCATCCTTCTGAAAACATTTAGAAAGAACACTGCAAAATATTAGGATATGACATTTGAAGCAATTTGAGTTAGCACCGATGTTAAACAATATCTGAAGCTTCAGAGTGTTTATATACAACATTATGTTTATTGCTATAATTTTGAATTATTCAGGTGAAATTCGAAACAGGAAGTTTATATTTTTTCTTTACTTTTATAAAGTTCAACGTAATGATAATAGCAAAAAATTTCCTTGACTTAATGTTTAAAATTTAGCTAATAAACTTACATTATGGTAAAAAAAATTCAAATATATCTAGAAGAGAATCTTGTGTAAATTTTCATCTGAAAGATCTGGTATATTTTTTGTCACAGCATGTTTTGTTAATGACACAGATCCAATGCTTTGATCTTTTTTTGATCCACTGTATATTTCTCGAGATATTTCATCATTTTCAAACTCTTAAAACCCATGTTAATTTATAAATGGTACTTAATATATGAATAATATAATTAACAATTGTAGTATAGAAGTTAAAAACATAACAGCTTTAATGAGAAAAATAAAAATTGAAATTTATATTGTTCCTTTTATAATCCCTTTATATCCTTCATTAATTCTTTTCTTTCAGTTCAAAGATCTCAGTTTTTTAAAGAATTTTTAAATAGTCTTAATGAAATGGTAACATTTTGTTTTATAGTATTAATTATTTGACGTTAAACACTGCATGTAATGTGCTACTTAATATATATATTTTTTTTTACATTTTTAACAAGACAGTTTTATCTATGGTTAAAACAGTTAGAAATTCCCACATATTCAAAATTTCTCAACTCTTTGGTGATAAAATAGGTAAATGTATGGCTTAAAATTTGAAAATATAACACATCATATTTTGAAAACTCCTTAAATACAGAGAGCTTACTTTTTAAATTTCAAAAATTTTAGATCTGTCACATTATAAATAAATATGCCAAATTTTATAAGTATCTTAGATTTTTAAATTCTAACTTTAATGTTACTAGATACAACATGTTATTGTCTACATTCTTAGAAGTCTACTGTGATCAGAACTTAAATTGAACTTTTGTAGGAAGCTTTTTAGAACTTTCATTAATCAATTTAGTGTTAAAATGTTATCGACTTTCAGTTTGATTAACAGAAGATATTGTGTAAAATTGCTAGGCATGATAGTAGTTTAATAGACATGAAAGAAATGAACAAAATTGATGTGTTTGGATTTAGATGGATTGGAACAGCAATTTAAACTATTAAAGATAACTAAGTTCTTTGCTTTAAAGTAGCAAAATTAATTCAGTCATGATATTAAAATTATTGTCTTTAAAATTTAATTTTTCAGAGTAAGCCACAATATAAATTAGAGAAAAATGCTAATTTATCAACAGTTGCGGTAAATTTTAGAAGGCAGTTGCATGCATATGGGACTACAAAAGAAAAAAAATAGCAATTTATACTGAAGGTTAAGGCCTAACCTTTTTTGCATTTAAGAAAACGATTTAAAATGTTTTGCTCTAAATATTTTCATAAGATAAAATAATTTCATTACTATATGAAAAAAAATTACGTTAAAATGGATTTAAAATCCATAAAATGACTTTTTTTTCTTGCGTTATTTATATATTTACCCTACTTTTTTTCACTCCTCTTTTTTCATTAGAAGAATTTAATCGAGGAGTTATCCCCGAGGCATCGTCACATATCTGCTGTAAGAGCACACTAATTATGAATTGTTGCAATATTGGTACGAATTACGCGCAATTTCGTAACTAGATGTTCGTTTTGGATTAGTATTCAAAACACTGTAATTCCTTATTATTTAAGATTATAATATTCCTAAAAGTGTCAGATGATAACAGATACGCATTTTTTAAATAAATATTAATAAATTTTAATAAAATAAGCAATAAATAGCATACCTAAAATACAGATATAAAATCATTTAAGTGACAGTCAAATGTTGCTTTTTAAAAATCGAAGAATGATATCACTCTCACTAAATAATAACTTTCATTTGAGATTGATGAACCCGAAAAGTTCCAAGAAGGAAGATTTAAGAATATTTCTTTTCACTTTATGATCATAAAATACAAAATTATGACAAAGAAATCAATTAGATAATACTGCAACTACAAACAAGCCAGACGAATTTTTTATGACACATAAAAATTAAAGGTAGTTTAAAAATAATAATGTGGTCAACGAACAAGAAATATTCACAACTTTTGCGTTTGATAAAATAACACCCACAGTCAAAAATTTTTAATATTATACGAACGTTAAAAAGTCCGAGTTTTGGTGCGCCTTTTATTGATGTTTCTGAAAACAGAAATTTCTTTACTTCATTTGAGCTTCAAAACAATAAAAACGCCCAGTAGCAAATAATAATAACGATTAGTAGGGCGGTATATTTCATGCTTTTAATTTCGCATCTGGCATCAGAGAGCCATGTTTTTCTTGTCAACAAACCGGTCAAAAATATCAGGATTTCATCAAGAAAGATATCAGAAACATTCATGATTTTGTAATGTTTTAAACAAACTATTGCCAAACATTAATTTGCTCCAGTTAAGGAATTTCTTTTTAATCTATGGACTTTGTTTCGGGTGATAAGATTTCTGTGTATAAAGCCTTAAGATTGAAGCCTATAGTTGAACCATTAGATTTGAGAAATAAAATTTGTACATATTTCATTTAAGTTTAAATTCTTTCCTTTTGTTTTAATCAGACTATTAAACAATGAAGTCGAAGATCGTTGAATGTGTGCCAAATTTTTCAGAAGGACGGAATAAAGAGGTATCTAACTTAATTTATTAATTGATGTATGTCCTTAATTTATGTTAGTTAACTTAGATAGTTCAATCTGTGTTAATTGTCATTCAAGAGCCTCTACACTTAAACTTTTAGACATTTCTGAACTAGAGAAAATATTATTAAAATCTAGCTTTAACAAAAATTTCTTATGGGATGAAAATGATTTTTGCTAAATTACTTTGTGCTTAAAAGATATCTCAAATGGAAAATTATTCTAGAGCTCAGCATCATATACAGTTGAAAACGGTGCATAGGACTTTGGTTTTTTGTTGAAGAAAACGAGGACTTTTGTAGTATCTTATCAATATCAAATCTATGAATGGATTTTATTTCATACAATTTTAGATTAAAAATGCATAAATTTGAATTGAGGGGATTGTCTTGCTTAATTTTTTTTGCATATTCTAAAGATGAAAAATTCCATGAAAAGTAAGACAGTGGATTTTTTGCTTCAAATTAAATTGAGGTATTTTCTATGATTTCTTATTAATTTACAAAGAAAACAAAACTGAAAAAATGGTAATTTTGTGAAAGTAAATGGTAATTTTTTCTATGCCAAAAATCATCATTTTCTTAATATACCATGTGTTTTCTATACCATATTTTTTTATACCAAAAATTTCTAAATTTTATTCAATTCCAAATTACGATTTATATAGTAATTTTAATTGCTTTGTTAAATTATTTTCTTACAATAGTAGTAGGTATTTTCTTTTTTTTTTGTGTTAGTATTAGAAAAAGATGATAAAAAAGCATATACTGAGGTAAAAAAGGGTCAATTTAACTGTTCTTTAAAATGTAACAAGAGTAACCAAAAACGTATAAAAGTTAATCCTAAATTTAAAAAATGAATTTAAAATCAAAAATATCGATATAGATGTACTGCTTATATTTGAAATTATCAAATGACCAATAGTTTGAAACTGGTTCATACAATTTATCTGCAGTTATTCTACATTTTATTTTGTAACAAGAGTAATAAAAGAGAAAAAAGTTACTATAAAAGAATTATGTTCGTTAGAAATGATCTTTAAAAAATGCTATCACAATAAGAACACTGATAAAAAAAAAGTTAATAAAGAGCCCTGTGACAGAATTTTTTCGGGATTTCTGCGACACACCTCTCTAGTACCTACTAAACTTTCTGCAAGATACTTTGAATAATATAAAATATATTTGTTACTAATTTAAGGTAACCAAACTGTCAACTTAAAAAAAAAAAAAAAAAAAAAAACTTTTTGGATAAAAAAATTTTTTTTATTTGACTACTTAATATTTTTTTATTGTAATATTATGAGTAATATTCTCGCATTTTGTAGGGGAAAACACTTTTCTTTTCTTTTTTGCATTTTGTAAATCATTATCACATTAAAAATAATTTTAAAAAAATCGTGAAATCTGTTGCAGTAACTACCGAAAAAAAGATCGACCGTGAAATCACGCAAATCGGACTCTTCCAAAAATTTTAACTAAATGTGTGTTTTCATTTCGAGCAGTTGTAATAAATATACCGTATGAAAAATATAGGATTTTAAAAGCTATGTGGAAACTAAAAGTAATAACTTCAACAAAAAAAAGGAATAAACTTTTTCTGTAGAAGAGAAAACCAAATTTTTTACTTCATTATTTTTTATTTTATTTTTCATTATTCTCAAATGAGAATCAAAAAATCACAAGCATTTTTTTCCCCACTCATATGCAGGAGAAATGCATGTTTTGAATATAGTTTTAAAGAAAAGATAAAATTTTTTGAAAATTTCTGCGAAAACTAAATTTTTTTACTTCTCAAAGAAAAAATCTTTCTGCAAGAACTCCATATCGTTCTGTGATAATGTCGCTGTATCACCACGATTCTGCCACGGGGATAAAAAGAATTGAAAGAGAAACAGAAAAAAATAATTTTCTTAGTTCTGAAATATAACTTTACTGTTTAGAATCACAGTTTTCTATGTTACTAGTTATCTGTCCTACCTTACAAGAAAAAAGTGACAATAAAAGATTAAAATCTATTAGAACCACTCCATTAGCATGCTACACTTAAGTTAGAATAGAAAAACAAGCAAAAATGTAACCCAAAAAAATTTCTCAATTTTTAAAACATTAAGTGTTAAAAGAACGAGAAAATTGACTTTTTGCATGTATTTATCAAGAAAGAAAAAAATCAGCAGTGCAAAACTTATGGTTCAGTATTAAATAATCTAGTTTCAATTCTTCAAATTTCCGTTTTTCTATGAGTTTCAGAACCTAAACTAATAAGTTTTAGAACTTAACAAATATGTGTATGTGTAAAACTATTTCTAATAATGAATAGCAAAAAATTTGATTTTAGAATATTCTTTATTAAATCTATTAAAATTTCCAGCTTAAAAAAACGAGTTGTTAAATATTTTTACAAATAATACTTTGCCGAGCATTCAGTAAAATATTTAGCAAAAGGGCCGCATACCAAATATTCGTTACATCCCTAATAATAATTAACAACTCATAGTTATTACTACCTGTGATATAAACCAAATGGTTATAATATGGGTCTTAAAGTATTAAGATTACGATTAGAAAAACCAATCAATAGTTTCAATAATTTTTGAAACATGTAATATGATATATAATAAGTCATATATATGATATAAACTCCTGTTTGTGAAAATTGCAACACCATGAAGGAATCGTCATAATTGAATGAAATTAATTACACACAGTTGAATAGTAGTGGTACAAATAAATGATTTAACTTTCAAAGCAAGCAAACAATAACAAGAGATCGAAATCAGTATTTTGTGTAGCCACCACTCTCCGCAATAAGTGCTGCCACGTGACGTGGCATGGAGTCAAGCAAACTTTTAATGTGTGTCTGAGGAAGAGAATTCCATACTGTTTGTATGTGTACCCAAAGTTCGTCTGTAGAAGCAACAGGACGAGGATTACGAGCGAGACGCCGACCAACAAAATCCCACACATGTTCAATAGGTGACAAATCCGGGGAATACGCCGGCCAAGGAAGAAGTTGTACCTGTCGCGATGCAAGGAAGGATTGAACAGTCCTAGCAATATGGGGACGGGCATTGTCCTGTTGAAATACAGCACCTGGCAAGGCTTGAAAGAAGGGAACAGCTTGGGGCTGTAGAACTTCACTGATGTACCGGTTGCTGTTCAGATTACCCACAATTCATAACAATTGAGATCGTCCATGATATGTATAGCACCCTGGACCATAACTCCGGGTGTTCGACGTTCGTCCACTGTGGCGTTCGATAACGCACTCCAGAAGATGGCGTTCACCGGCATAGCATAGCGTCTGACACGAATGCGGCCATCATGGTACCACAAATTGAAGCGAGATTCATCAGAAAACACGCCAATCAGCACGCCAGTCCCTATACTGGCTGGCTCATTTCACAGGGTTCCCACGGTCCTTGAGAGTCCTTGAAAGTCCTTGAATTATTTTTTGCTAAATTTAGGTCCTTGAAAGTGCTTGAAAAACGTCTTAGGTCCTTGAAAAACTTGATAGGTCCTTGAATTTGTCGAATACTGCTGGCGGCCCTTTTTATAAAACACCCGCAGATCTTTCTCGTTTTTTCTGTTTTGTTCCCGAGCTCTCTCACGTGATTTTTAACGCCACCGTTTCTAACCGGGCCTAGCGTCTTGGTGTCTGCCAAGCGCGCGGAGCACAGCAGACAATCAATGCGTTCGGGGCGAGACTCCACTTCATCTNATTAAATGAATTTCAACGGAATTTTCGTGAATAAAATGTGTCAAAAAGTCTTAAATACAATTATTTCTGCAAGAAACCTATTGAGTAAATTTTCTGATGTATATTTATTTAGATAATTCTTTGTTACAATCTTGTTAAATTTTTTCTATTTAATAATGCTTTTTCTTTTGAACTCCATTTAAGTATTACATAAAATGTGATTTTACAAGCACTATGGTATAAAAATTATTTGCTCCTTTCTGCTCCTAAAACCAAATTCATTTGCGCCAAAATGGTGACACTGCTGTTCCATTTCTGTCAATGTCATAAAAGATATAGAATTAAATAATCTTAAAGATTTCATTTTTCAAAATTCATTTTCAGTCTTTAACTGTTTTTGTCTTCCTCCTGAACGACACTAAAGATAAAAGTAGATGGAGTAAAATCACTACTTACAAATATCCCCTACAGGATATTTCCACATCAGCATCTATTTGCGCCAATAACAATTGCCAAGGCACCAAAACGTTTTTAAGCTTAAAACAAATTTTTTTTTTGAAATATAATTGTTTGCCGGGTATCAACTCAACTGAACAGTTATACCTGTTTAGTTGGTCCTCATCTGTGATTTTTTTCTTTTATTTCTGGCCGGCCACTGCCCAGAAATAGCTGAAATTATTTTGGAGTTAGTAGTGATACACAAATCTTCTAATCTATCTCTCTAACTAATTTATGCTGCCAATTATTATTGGAATTTTTACGTTGAAATTTAAAACAGTTGTTCCACAATTGTCTCCAATTCATTTATTTTTTAGATAATTGATGCAATATCAGAGGCTATTAGAAGTACAAGTGGCGTGTCCCTGCTAGATGTGGATCCTGGCCCCTCTACCAATCGGACAGTGTACACCTTCGTTGGCTCTCCTGATGCTGTCATTGAAGGAGCCCTGAATGCTGCAAGGATAGCAAATAAGTTGATTGACATGACAAAGCATAAAGGTACATTTAAATAATTTTTTTTTCTAAACTAAGGTGCATGGTCCTAGTTTTTTTTTCTTTAGTTTACAACTATAATTTAATATTTTGGCTTACCAAACAGGCCTAATGAAATCTGATTTGTGCAGGCGTCAAATTACACATTAAGTTGGTTGTTAAGTTCCCACCAGAATTATAGCTGTGATAGAATTCCATGAACGGATACCATTAGTTGATTTTTTATTGTTTTTGTGAAAAGCCGGGTGAGCTGTATTAAGATCACCCTACTTTTTGAGGGCTGATCTTGGATTAAGTTCACGGTCGTTGTCGCTTCTGTGTTGCCTTTAGCAGTCGAGTGAATAGGTTGTATGTTGTGTGTGATCGAGACTGAGTATCAACAGCACGAGGAGGACACAGTCACAAGTAGTAGTAAGTTGACCATGCAGTGTGAGTCATCCATTGAAGTAGGGGTGTTCTAATAAAAGTGGGAGTTCCGGGCAAGGCAGGCATATTCACATCACATCCGTGTTACCAATGTGGGGATAGTAGTTTTCGACATTGTCAACCTTCCAGAATTGGAATTGTATTTTAGTAGTGGTAGGAACATTACAGTTCTTAATCATTCAATGAATCTGTTTAACTGTAATTCATAATAGTATATCAATGAAATTTGCCCTGAAAATAATAATTGTAAAAGAGTTTAGATATTGATTTAAAAAAGCTTATCTTAAAATGTATTTTGTAATTAGTTAATATTGTTGAATTACATTATAATAAGGAAGCAGCTCTTTTAGTTTTAGACTCTCTACAATCAACATAATAATAGCAGAGTAGAATGAGAAAAAAAAGTGGAATTATTTGAACTGGAGAAAACACCTTTTAGGTTGTTAGACACCCTTAATGACTTGCACTGTTTATATGACTATAAATTTTCGTGGAATGAGTTTATTGAGGAAATGGAGTCCTCTTAAGTGAATATCCCACAGAATCACTATTTTATTTATGATCAAATTTATACAGGTCCGTAGCTTTTTTAAAAAGTACTTAAAGTTGCTTTTTTAAAAATTCCTTAATGTTCCCTTTTCCAAAATGAGATTTTTTTTTATCATGTCTATTTTTGTCACGAATTATGCAAAACGCATTGTTTTCATACTATTCTATTCAATGTTTTCACAATTCATTCTACCACAATAATAACATTACTATGATATGCGCACTAAGAAACAATGTATCTTCCTATTATTGAAAGTTCATGTATATATATGAACTTTCAATAATAGGAAGAAATTTTTTTAATTAGTATGCATATCCTAATTATATTTGGAGATATTTCCGTATTGTGATCTGCTGCAGAATAATTGCCAAGTTTAGACAACTTCTGGGCAGTGGCACACCTTGGCGATTGTAGTTGACGTGACATGTCACTCTACAGAAATATCCCCTTATATATATTTTTGAAATAAAGAATTTAAGAATATTTTTTGAATGCTCGAAAACTGCTTCCTTTTTGGTTTAAAATTTGTGTATGCACCCTGTTATAATGTTCTTTTGTTTTTGCAAAATTCAGGTGAACATCCTCGCCTTGGTGCTCTTGATGTTTGTCCATTTATACCAGTACAGGGAGTTGAAATGGAAGAGTGTATATTCTGTGCCCGGAAGTTTTCAGAAAAACTAGCTGCTGAATTAAAAGTTCCTGGTATGTGTGCTTACTTATAACAATCATCGTTTATTTTACTTTGATAAAAGAACTATAGGAGGTGTGGCGAATAAATAACCAGACTGTGCATGCATTAGCCACTAGGCTTGGTGTGGAAAAGTGGGAATAGAATTGTAATAAACCTTAAGGCTTTCAGTGCAGTTGGTTTTTATTCCTTCCTTCATTCTATCTTGTTATTTATTCTTGTTTGACGTTTTAATGAAGTGCCGCTATCTTGATAAGTTTAAAAACCATGCAGCACATTAAGTTGTCGTTGAACAGCCAATGCAATTTTGGGTTACAACTACTAATGTTCAACTCCGTAGCCTTGTAATTTTGAACCCAATCCAGAAGACAAGGGAGCTTCTGGATCAAGCATTGGGAGAAAATTGTTTTGATTAAGGGAATTTTTGATGGAATTAACCCGCTTTTGCATTACATGGAGCAAAAACCATGAAAACCTCCCATGGTTTGCCTGATGGCAAGGGGACTTTAACCCATGATCCGTCTACCACTGATGATATTTTACGTCAGCACTGGGGTAGGTGCAAGCGGGATGCAGAATTGCCGGATGCGGACCAGCCATCCCTGGAATTCGAATCTGGTTTACCTCATTGGATGGCAAACACTATGTCCTCTGATACATCACAGCCCCAAAGAAGGTTATCAAGATAATTGTATGTCACATAGTGAAATGTTTGAATGGCGCTAACGATTATTGGAAGTTCTGGAGGTTCATGAAGATGATGAATGCTCTGGTTGACCCGTGATTTCAGGAACTGATAAAAACATGAAGAAAAAAATAATGAAATACTGCATGAAGACCAATGTTTGAGTGTTCTTTTGTCAGATATTACAAACATTGACAGAGAAACAATAAGAAAAATTTTGACCACAGACTTGCATGTGAGGAAAGTTTGTGCAAAACTGGTACCAAAAAACTAAGCATGTGAGTGAACAATGAACAGGAAAAGCATTTGTTCTGACAAAAGCAAAACCATGGAAGACCCCATATTGCAAAAGGCTAAAAAAGCTTGAATGTGCTAATGCAAACAAAAAGTTGTGCTCATCGCCTATTTTTAATATTAATGATATCATCATAATTGAATGGGTATGTCAGTGCCATACAGTAAATCAGCAATCTGACATTCAGGTCTTAAGACTTAAAGAAATAGTGTGGAAGAAAAAAACAGTTATTTGGAGCAACAACGTATGAATCTTGCTCCAAGGCAATGCCCTGGTGCACAATGCGCTTTTGGTGAAACAGTTTTTGGCAGACATACTCATTACTGTTCTCAAGCATTCACCGCACTCACCAAATCCCGCACCATGCAACTTCTACCGGTATTAATTATCTACTAAATAAATTAAATGCAGGCTAAATACTTTGATTAAAGAAAGTTTATTGGCTTTTAAATTATTCAAATTAAAATAAAAGCATTATAGAGCAAAATAAGATCAATATTCAATAGGAAATATACTTCCTGTTGTAAGACATTTCTGTTAAGTAAATAGGAGTTTTTACAAATCTTATATATATTTTTAAAGGACTTTTTAAGCTAAAGAAGTCAACTGTCATAAACTTGTCCATTCTGATTTCTTTTCTCAGTGTAATAAATTATTTTTATTTCCTTAGATTGAATAAAAAACTATTTTTGTAGTTTTAGAAAGTTTTCACTTTTCTTAAACTTTTTTGCATTTTGCTTGTGAAATTATATTGTATATTACTTATATTTTCCATTTGAATTAAAATGTTTTTTTCTAGCTTGTCTTTTCAATTTTATTGGTGAACTATATTTGTTATTTTTCTCTTCTCAATTTAATATAAAATTTATTTTTATAGTGTACTTGTATGGTTTTGCTTCTGATCAAGAGCACAGAAAAACGGTCCCTCAAATTAGAACTGGAGAATATGAAGGCATTCTAGAAAAGGTATTTCAGTGAGTATTTTAATTATTTCAATGCATCAACTTATTGCATTTTTCTGTATTCATTTATTTAAATCTTATTTTTCCTTTTATAAATGTAGACTTTTCTAAGTGAGGAAATCCAATGATAAATGCATATGAACAGGGTTGATGCATTTAAAAAAAAAAAATTTGAAACACTTGTTTTAAATATGTTTTAGAAACATTAAATAGAAAAAAGAAATAATTTTTTCCCTCTGTCTTTACTATGTTTCATAAACTAATCAGGAAGTGTCGGAAGTTAACGAAAAAAGCATATCCTTCATACAATAACAGTGCATTTAAAATAGCTTTTTATTTTAGTAACATATGCTCTAAATTTTAAGTAGGAAATACTACTTGTTTTAGCAAAATCATCAAAAATCAAAGCTGATGTTGTCGTAGGCCATTAAGGCAAAGGGTGTTATTGTTGTTATTTTCCAGTGGCGCCATCTATGGCCAAGAATTTGACTTCTGTCACACCCGTTTATAGGGCCGACTCATTCATTCATCCACTGACCATAATTTTAACATGAACTAGAGAACAATCAATCTCCACTCCAGGACCCACAGAGGTATAATTTGTTAAGGGAACATGGGGGGCTTTGTGACCTGACAGATTTAACATGCACCAGTCACCATTTCATCAGCATTGGCACGACAGCCCTTTGTGAGCCTGGGCCTTCCTCAAAAGCTTTTCCCATTCTGCCCTACTCCAAACAATTGATTTCCAGTTCTTTACTTTTAGCATGGCAAAATTCTCATCCACACAGTCTTTTCATCTCTTTTTTGAGCCTTCCTCTTGGCCTTTTATTGTAGGGGGTTGCATTAAAGACTCCTAATGCTGTTCGTTCTGGGCTCATTCTCAGTACATGCCCGGCCCATCTCATTCTACTTAGTTTAATGATATCATCACTATTAAAGATCTTATATATTTCAAAATTATATCTTTTTCTTCAGTTGTTGTTATCGAGGATAGATGGTTCATAGGACCTTCCTTTCGAAGGTTGCTAATGACTTCTCTTCCCTTATTGTTAAAGTCCATGTCTCTGAAGCATAAGTCAAAACTGACTTGATTAGTACCTTATAAAGTAAAATCTTTGTCTTTCGCCTGACAGATTTAACATGCACCTGTCACCATTTACTACATGGAAAGTCTTTGGAGGACTGGATTTGAACTCCTATTCTCACGAACCTGAGTCCAGCGCCCTGCCTACCAGACTATCCTGGCTGCTAAAAATCAATAAATTTACTAAATCAATAATTGATAATTGCAGTTGCTCTTTGGGAAAAAAAATTCCCCATTATTTTAAATTGTTGTAATCTTTTAATAGTGTTTAAAAAAAAAATAAATAAACTGTTAAAAGTTTTTTTTCTAAGAAAAAAAAAGAGAGAAAAACCATCTTTCAATACCTGTTTAAAATTTCTCAATTTGTTGTTTGCTTTGCTGTAAGTTGCTAAGAGATTTTTTTTATATGCATTTTTATTTCATATGAAAATACATTAAAATATATAAATATCAACAAGTTATTAAGGTGTGTAAAGGAGAAAATGTGCATCTGAAAAGTAAAAAACTGAAAATAGTAGGACTAATTCTTTCGTTTTATGAAACTAAAATAATTAAAAAAATATATAAATTAATAAAAATTTTCTTGAACTGCTTTTCATTTTGAAATATCATCTTGACATAGTTAAACTTCGATGCTACAAATTATGTTATCTTTTTGGTTATAGTTCATCAAACTGAGTTTTTAAAAAAGGAAACATTTTCTTTTGATAACTATATATTCTTCAGTTTGTATTTGGATTAAAGATGAAAGATATTTGATAACAGAAAGCTTTGTACCCCCTAGTCAAAAATAAGATTTTTCAGACTTTCTGAACTTTAGAAAAAGAAGAAATAATGAAGTAAAAATATTATGATAAATGTCTATTTTTTCTTGATGTTTCTGCATTATTTATGTTTTACATTATTGTTTTCATTCTCAATATTTTCATCTCTTTAATGAGTTATATACAACACTCAACAATTTCATTGACTGTCAATGTTCTCTTATAGAAATAAAAAGGAAACTTTAAATAAGTATGTCAATAATTTTTAAAAAAATTTTGTGTGCGTGCAAAATATTTTCACATGCTTTTTTATTTATTATTTATGGTTTGTTGTTCTCTTCTCACTTTAATGCCAGTTCTTTTGTATATTTCTCCGCCTTTCAAAATTCAAATTATACTTGTAATATTTCTAAAAAGTGTTTCCTCATTTTATTTTACTTCATAACTGGCATTGAGCAGCCAACTCATTCCGGGGTTTACGACTATTATATTGAGTTTATGGCATTGCAGTTATTGCGAACCAGGAGCGGAATTCAATTCATATGTTCTTCCTAATTTGTAATATAGAAGCACATACGTTTGTAATAAGGAAGCGCATATATTATGCACACAAATATTAAGTGCTTCTTGATTTGTAAATATTATTTTAGAAATTGTAATAAATTATTGCGAGCCAGGAGCGGAATTCAATTCATATGTGCTTCCTAATTTGTAATATAGAAGCACATACGCTTGTAATAAGGAAGCGCATATATTATGCACACAAATATTTATTAAGTGCTTCCTGATTTGTAAATATTATTTTAGAAATTGTAATAAAAAGCTATTGTTTTAGATTTCCAAACCTGAATGGAAGCCGGATTATGGTCCTGCTACATTTGTGCCGAGTTGGGGTGCAACTATGGCTGGGGCTAGAAAATTTCTCATTGCATACAATGTAAATGTTCTCTGTACAAAAGAGCAAGCCCATCGGATCGCCTTGGATATCAGAGAACAAGGGCGAAGCAAAGACGAGGTACATTCTTACTTTCATCAATGCTCTCTTCATCACCCAGGTGCTTTGTTTGAGATGTATTTTAAAAATCCCCTGTATTCTAAAAATGTAACCCTGCTGAAATCACGAATCACAAATTTTGCTATTTCTATGTTGATTGTGGTAATTGCGGGGACACACAAGGACAGGGCTAAATCTATGTGCTAAAAATGGTGCATAGCATTTTTAAAAAGTGCTTAAATATGTTTTTTCGTTTTTTAAAAGCCCTTAAATTTGCTTTTTTCATGGTGTGTTTTTAAAAAGTGCTTAATTTTGCCTTTTCGAAAATGAAATTTTTTTCTTTACCATGTCGATTTTCGCTGCAATTTATTATGCAAAAGCGTGGTTTTCACATTTTTCTATTGAACGTTTTCACAATTCATTCAACCACAATCCATTTCAGTGTACCACCGGTCAGTAATGTATAATGTCGCCAAACATGTTTCATGTTTGATGAAATACTTGGGAGTCTGCTTGTGTGACTATGGGGTGTCTATGTGTGGGTTTGGTGAGATTCTTGCACTCTGCTGCATTTTGCAATTTCAGGCTTCATTTTCCATCCTCTGAAATCGAACCGAAAAATCTCTCTATCTTTTTATGGTGGCTAATATAATCAAGAAAAGAGTTCTTTGTCAGAAATTAGTTAATTTTATCATAATCAGGTAAAATCTTTAAAAATTATTTATCCTTTTGTTAATATATATTGGGCTTAAAAAAATTTTTTTTTTTTTTTTTTTTTTTTTTTTTTTTTTTTTTTTTTGTGCCTAAAAAGTTCTTTTAAGGTCCTTATTTTTTGTTGAAGGATTTGACTGCGAACCCTGTCACAGCTGTAAAATAATTTGAAATACAAAAATACTCTAATGTATCTCATTTTTGTATAAAAAAATAAACCCAATGTTTGGGAAAGAACAATTTTATAAGATGATGATTCTTAAAATATCACGGCTTTGGAATCTTTTTACAATTTTCTATTTTTCGCTTTTGCTGTTTAACAAAAAAAGGCATTGTCATTTCAAAGGTAAATGTCATGGCATTTTTCTGATAGCAAATTATCTTTTGAATTGTGCTAAAGTTGGAAAATGATTTTAACAATATTTTTAAGTAAAGTTTTTCAACACTAACGGGCTTTTTAAAAGCGCACCTTTCTTAAAGTCAGTTGTGAAATAAGAAGAAAAAAAATCACAATAAAAATGCAACAAATTTGTAAGTTTTTGAGTCGTACTAATCTGTATTTACTTTTTGTAACTCGAATTAATAAGGAATAATAAACTAAAATAATAATAATTTGTCTGTTCGTTCTTTGAGAAAAAGGGTGTGTTAATTAATACAATCAGTCAGACATTTTGCACAGAGTAATTTAAAAATAACCTAATGTTCTTATTTTCTTAACAAGGATTGATTCTCAGTTAGCTGGCTATAGTTCACAACTTTTTTTTACCTATGAATGTATATGGTATGTATTTTTTTACATAGCATATGAAAGCACCTATCATTTTACATGTTTGATGAAATATTTGGGGGTCTACATGAGCATACACTGAGGTGAGATTCTTGCACTCCCATGTTCAACTCTGCTGCATTTCGCAAGATATTCTCAATTTCAGGCTTCATTTTTCACCCTCAGAAATTGGCTGAGTAGTAGCACTCTGTGCTTTTGTGCCGCAGGTCCTTGGTTCGATCCTCAGACTGGACAAGGTTGACTCAGCTTTTCATCCCTTCAGTGGGTCGATAAAATGAGTACCAAGCATGCTTGGGAACAAAATACTTGGGCATTCCCCGTTTGACTGGCCACCCAACCGGAGCAACTGCTCTTGCATGCACCCCAGAACCCATGGTCAAAAAACTGAGATGGGCACAGTAGGCCTTGGCCCTCTATGGGCAGTTGGGCCACTGAATTTAAAGTTTTAATATAATTACGAAAAGAGTTCTTTGTCAAAAACTAGTTATTTTATCATGATCATGTAAAGTCTCTTAAAATTATTTTGCATTTTGTTAATGTATATAGTGCTTAAAGAGTATTTAAAAAGTGCTTATTTCTTATTGAAAGATTTGTATACATTCCCTGATCACTTTTTTCTAAAAATACGACAATGTGGAAAAGTTAAATGTATTATTTCAGCGTTAATTTTTCTTGTAAAAAAATAAGATAGATTCATTTTTAATGATTTTTTTAAAAAAATGTGTTTTGTTAAAGTTATGTTTTCGTCTGCTAGCCTGGTAAGCTAAAAAGATGTCAAGCTATAGGATGGTGGTTAGACGAAGCAAACATTGCTCAGGTTTCAATCAATCTTACAGATCATGATGTCACCCCTGTACACATTGCATATGAAGAAGTAAGTTTCATTTAATTTAATTTCATTATGTTTGTAAAATATAAACATTCACAGCAGTAATAATTTTTCTTTCCAAAAAATTCTGCATAGGTATGCAAAGGAGCCAAAGATCTGAAACTAGCTGTTACTGGTTCACAAATTGTTGGTGTCGTTCCTCTCAAAGCTATGTTACAAGCAGCTGAGTTTTACATTCATAAAGAAAACTTGTTTGTTTTAGAAGAGGACCAGAAACTCCATTTGGTATGGAATATTTTAACTGCATTTATTGTATTTGCTCAGTGAAATATATATATTTTATTTCATATACATATAGATACTGAATTATTCATAGTTTTGTCATGGGTAAATAAAAAAATATCCGTAATGAGAGGTGTCCGTTTTGTAGGAGTGTCCATAATGTGAGGTTATGTAATGATTGATAATTATATATATGTTATATTAATTTTGTTGCACTTTTTTGCACAATTCCACTTTTTCCATCATAACTTAATGAATCTAAAATTGCAAAACTTTGATATGATGTTGGGGGATCATNATGAGGAAAAAAAAAATTTTTTTTTTAAATTGCGGGAAAATTTATCGAATTTCGTTCCGGTTTTTTGGTTTTCCGGTTTTCTGATTTCCGGATAACGGGTTCTGTACTGTACTACATGTTATATTAATTTTGTTGTACTTTTTTGCACAATTCCACTTTTTCCACCGTTAACTTAATGAATCTAAAATTGCAAAACTTTGATATGATGTTGGAGGATCATCCACAAAGTGTACAAATGTAATTGAAGTATTTTATATATTCTCCCTGATAATCTGTTTTTGAATTTTTATTTCACTTGAATAATATTATATAAATACAAATGAAGTGAAATTTACTGTTCAATAAATTTTTAAGGTTGAATTAGGGATCAAATACTTCTATACTTCTTTTATGAGTAAAATAAGTTCAGGGATGCCAACTTGCTCTGCTTTGTAAAATAGTATTTTCTAGTGGTAGCGAAATTTAAGTTACTTTTAGTTTAGTATTTTTCATTTTAAGTAATTTTTTCACCACTAAATATCAAAAATTATAAGTATCATATGAAATGCAACGTTGCAGCATTATTCTACTGGATACTCTATTAAAAAGTGGGCGTAACTATGCTTCTCTAACGAATTTTACTATATAATTTGCTACTACTTTATTAAAACTATTCCAGAAAGCAGAGCAGTTGGCATCCCTGTAAGTTCTTTAAATATAATTTTACAGTTCCTGTTATTCAATTGATGTACAGTGATTTTTAACCAATTAACAATTAGCTGTAGTACATGAAAATTTAACAAAATAATGAACTAAGAGGTCATACAAATCCATTTTTTTTCTTTCAAATATTTAGTTGCTTTCAAAACTAGCAAAGAGAAAGGTTCTTGTTAATAGAACTGAAACTATTGTATGTCAATTTATGTATTTTCACTTGTGCTTTGTTTACCTTGTTTTATTTTATTTAGTCTACATAGCACAAAGTATTACCCTTTCCTTTGTAAGAATAATACACTTTTATATTAAATTCATTATTTTTCATTTTAACCTTGTATTATAATTATAAAAAGAAGTATTCAGAAAATATGTTTTTTTATTAAGATATCGTAAAAACTGTGAATACATTAACTACTACTGTGAAGAAAAAAATTTTATCAATGAATCGTCCTGATGTGTATTTTTTTAGGGCTTTCTAGTAATGTTACCACCAGTAATGTTTTAATAATTTTTTGGTTTATTTTTTAAACACTGGCATGCATGCTAAATTTAATAGAAATTTCGTCAGAAAAATTTTAAATTATGCATATAACCAACCACCTTGAATGTGTTGATTTTTATTCAGAAGAATACTTCTATGATAATACATATATTTTGCTCAAATTTTTAAAATAATTTAAAAATGTTTTAAAGTAAAACAAGTAACAAAATTCTTTTTTTTTTTTCAAATTAAATTCAATAATTGCATTAATTTCAATAATTGCATTAATTTTCACTTTACTATTTGAAGGAGATTCATGAAGACAATTTTTGGGTTTTGCATTATTACACAGCATTTTTTTCATAATTTTTAAAAAATTTAGTTTTTACATTATGATTTTTTCCAATAATAATAAAAATGAATTTTTTGGATGAGGTGACTTTTTTAGGTAGTTCCCTTAATTGCTTGTTTTATTTATTAAAAAATTTATTAATATTTATTTATTTTCAATTCTATAATTATCATTATAATAATTATAACATCCTAATCTAGACTGAAATATATATGTTCTATAAGTTATAGAATAGGTAATGTAAAATATATTTTTCATCAAATATATCAAAAAACATAATTATATAAAAACATAAACATATATTTAACATTATATAAACATTATTATAAAACATAAACAAAAAACATAATTTATAAAATATATCAAAAAACATAATTATAATTTCATAATTATGTTCTTATATTCAGATTTAAAATTAATTATTCTTAATGTTTCAGAATAGGCGTGTAAAATTTAACATTTTAATACAAATACTTAGATTTATTTTTCTCATAAAATTTAAAATAATGATTGTGTGAATAACCATTCTAGGCAATCAACAGGCTTGGTTTAAATTCATTAGGTCCTTTCAACCCAAAAGAAAGGATTATTGAATATATGTTGCCAGAAAATGATTCCAATTCATTGGTTAACAAAACAGTGGAAGACTTTATAAAAACTGTTGCTGCCAGAACTCCAGCACCCGGAGGGGGATCTGTGGCCGGTGCTGTAGCTGCTATGGTATAGTTTATCTTAAATATTTATATGTTTTGACATTAATTGCTATGTTAGACAAAGATTTAACTGCATGTTGACTGCTTTATAATAATTCATTTAATAAAGATCATAATTATTAATTTAATTTTCAAACAGCAGTAACTACAATGCACTTTAAATGCACTTAACATATCGTGTCATATATTGAATATAAATTTCGACGCTTTAAAAATGAAACATAACTTTTAGATAGAAAATACAGATTCCATTTCCAACATGTTTCTGTATGCATCCTCACAAAACAGCCATCTTAGAATTGTTACATAAGATTAAATGAAGTTTTTAATCCTTATCATTTCCTTGTGGCAACTTAACCTTATATAATGCAACCTCATCGTTTTCAAGTGGCTATTTTTCATAAGTGTAGCTATTTCATTTTATAAAATCAAATGTTCTTAGAGCAGACGTGATTTTAAGAGGCAGTGGGCACTGTAAATGTAAAAATTCTTTGCCAAAAGTGAAATAACTTTAAACAATGGTCTTCAATTTGGAAAAAGTTTTTTTTTTTTTCATTTTATTGAGAAAAAAAAAATCTGTGAACTTCCACAACTCTCGCTATGAACAAAATTGCCGTTATTAAATCAAAATGACTGAATACCTCATAGATAGATTACTATTTGTCTTAAAAATGTATATTTAATTTACTATTTATAGGGAGCTGCTTTGTCTTGCATGGTGGGGCAAATGACGTATGGTAAGAGGCAATGGGAAAGACATGACTCCCAAATGAGGCGCATCATTCCTGTCATGTATGAAGCCATGAGAGAATTGGTATCCATTATTGATGCTGACACATCAGCATTTAATGACTACATGGTAATAAAGTTTTATTCACTTAAATAATAATGCATATACAGTCAAACTCCCGCTACAGTGAACCTTCAAGGGACCAAAATTTTGGTTTACTATAACCGGGTGTTCACTATATCCGTTATGCAGGTAATTTAATTAATGGTTCCCAAACTCCTCCGTTTTATTCCACATTATTCAAATAAATGACTAAAAAATATTATGCAGTAGCAAAAAATTTGTTATTTTTCATTATTCTTTGTCTTGCGTACAAAAAAAATTAGTAATCTTTAGCTGATGAGCAATCCTCAACATCAGTTATGGAAACACTTCCCGACTCTCTGATAATTTTTTCTGAATTTCTGTTATTCCATTTTTTAAACCTGTCTAAACCAGCCATTCGAGCACATGAAAGTAGTCCCATAAAATCACTTAGCAAATTCATCCACATTTGTCCAGAAACTGGAAAATTGCGGCTTCTTCGAATGGTGAACCACTTCAGTAATGCTTCTTTGACATCCTTGTGATCTGCTTTTCTCAACTTTTTCTGCCATCTAAATTTTTTTTGTGAGAAGAAATTATTAATTGCCTATTTTTCCATATGTTACAAGCTTCAGGTTTGGATAGTTTATATTTCCTGAAAATATCGAAAGAAATTAAGAAAAAAAATCAGTCGAAGAAGTTAAGAAAAAGTTCATTATATACAACATCATCACTTTTTTGTGTCACTATATCCACAAAAGATAACATTATGCTTGTATAGTAAGGCACGGGACCGAACATTTGGTTCACTATATCCGGGAGTTCACTATAAACCGTGTTCACTATAGCGGGGTTTGACTGTGTATATATATATGGGTAGGCTCCTACTAAAGACTGTAGAATGTGTGTAAAAAAATTAATATTCTTGTATTAGTTCACACACTCTCCCTATATCTTGTTCAAATTTTCAATCGTTAATAAAATACCTTTTATTCATCCACTCAAGTACAAATACATTTTTTTTAAACTTGTAGTGAATGTCACTTGATGTTAATACAGTTTATTCAAATATTAATTCATTCATTAAATTTAATTCATTAATTTTAGTTTTATATAAGAGAAAAAATTGAAATTAATTAATAAAAAGTAACTAATATAAAACTTTTCTTTGTTGACTTAAGTAGGAATTGACTGGTAAAAAATAAATAAATAAATAAATTATATTACTTGTTTATGTTTAATTTAAATCGCTGTTGTTACTTATTTTTCAGGCTGCCTTGAAGCTACCCAAGGAAACTCCTGAAGATATTGTAATGTGAGTATAAAGAACACAATTATAAATTAATTTCGTATTTTTGAAAACACTAAATGTCAATTTTTTTTTGTCTTAGGTATAATCAATTTATTTATATATTTTTTAAATCTATTTTTGCTATGAATTTGGTACAATTTATATATGCCATGCAATATTTTTGACCCAAACATTATGTAAAAGCAAATTTATTTGAAATTCTATGTTTAGTTGATTGGAGTGTTCTGTAATTGTGATAATATGCTAAAAAAAAAAAAACATTCTTATATTCACATTTTTCACTGAAGTAATCATGAGTGCACATAGAGGACCAGCAAAAAATTTTAATAATATTTTAAAAAATAAGGAGTTTTCTAAATAATCTCAATCAAATTTTGAATTTTATTTAGACATTGAAACTTTTAGAACAGTTACCTTATAAGTTTGGAACATTTCCTTTAGATTCTCAAAACTTTTCTAAGCTATTTTAATTATCAATTTAAGTGAAAGCAAAGTAAAAAGTTCCAGAAAAAGATCAAATTTCCTGACTTTATTTTTGTAAGTATTCTTATTTGTGAATGTTACATATAACTAACAAACTCTACTATAGCTTAAAACAATAATTCTTTTGAGCGTATATGTTAAGCATTATTAGCATCTTTTTTCTTGTTGTTATAGATTGCAAAAATATCACTTTTAATTTGAAAAAATTATTTATTTAGTTCATTGAATGATATTTATTTTAAAATCCATAATTATTCAGTTATAATTATTGATTTGTTATTTAAAGAGAAAAAAAATCATACAATTAACTGGAAGACTACATTACCAAGTTAGTATTCCTTAAGTTACCTGCCTTTGAGTCAAAATGATATGTTTAATTTAAAGAAAGTTACATTACATTCACGCTTGATCTTCTTAAGCAGGATATTTTCAAACCTTTTGGTGTGAGTACCCCATAACGTTTATGAAATTTTTGTGGAACCCTGTAAAAACTAAACTCAGTGGCGCAACAGCCCATAGTGGACCAAGACCTACTGTGCCCAACTCAGTTTTCTTGACCTTGGGCTCTGGGGTGCAGGAGCAGATGTTCCGGTTAGGTGATCAGCCAAACGCGAAACCCCCAGTGTTTAGCTCCCAAGCATGCTTGGTACTCATGCAACCCTGTAAGCATTTCACAAATGCAACACAAGTCAATTCCTTCACTTGTACTGTAATATATTATTGCAGTTTTAGATCATCACTTTTAATTTGATGACATGGAGCTATATGAAAATATTAAGAAAGTTAAATAAAATTTTAATTGTAATAAAAAATAAAATAAAAAATTCAATAAAATAAAAAAAACTCTGAAAGGCAATCATAGGTTACTTATTGGCAAAATGGTTGTTGTCTAATTTAATTAATTATCTCGGTAAGTTTAGGCATTGGCATCATTTTTTGTTTCTTGCTTCAACCATTGGAACCGTGTCAATCAGTTTGGGACCTTCTTTATTTGTGATATTCACCTGATTTAGTATTGAAAACAATCCAGTTTGAACTGTAGGTAAGAATTTCTGATTCTCAATTAAAACAACAAATGATGAAATTCTCTTTTATTCACAACTCAGGAAGTATTTATGGGATCTCTCTGGTCCTATATCTCAAAAATAAACTCACCAATTTAATGCATAACGAAATTAAAAGTGAACAAAAAAATTATCAAACAGCAGCGGCCGCCAGTTGAAGAGGGTGATGATGTCCAAATAATGTGTGCACGCAATCAAACCCAAAACAACACCCATTTTGCCAATGGGTATTAAATAATAAAAAATTTCTTATCACTCTGTATTCTGAGAAGTTGAAATCATTTTTTAACATTCTTGAAACATAATAAGTTCTTGGAACTACATATGTCTACCAAGCAGCCATATTTTCCTAAACTGTGACTTATATTTTTAGAGTTGTGAGCATTTCTATAAAAGTTTTTTTTTCCTTTAAATTTTAGTTTATAACCTGCAAAATTTTCAGTTAAATTTTACAATGCTTGCCAAACATTTTGGATTATAAAACACAAATACAGTCAAACTCGCTTGTAACAAGCCCTGGTTTAACGAAAACCTGGATTCAAGGAAGAAGTCGGAAAGACTTGGGTAATGCAATGCTAAGTGTATTTGGATCATAGCTCATTCTTAGCAAACAAACTCTACTTTTAGCAAGCAATGTTTTTTTTTATTCATAAAGTTTTTACTTAATTCCAGCTCCACTTCTGGTAAAAATTCCTTTTTTTTATGACTAAAGGAATTCCTTTTGATGTTTTTCACAACATGAGTCTTATCTGAATAATAATAATAATACAAAAAAGGGATAATTAGATAGTTCAAAGCAGATTCATTAACATTTCATCAATTTTAATTTTAACATGCTTTAATAAATTCATTTTGTTCATTCATGTGGAAGAAACCTCGACTAATAGTTTTGTAATTATAGGAGAGAGACTGCCTTGGAAGCTGGTCTGAAGAAAGCAATATCAGTGCCCATGTACTTAGCAAAAACTGTTTGTAAGTTATGGGATGCATTGAAAGAATTAGCAATAATTGGAAACATTGGAACAAAATCTGATTTACAGGTATCATCTAAATCATATTTTGAGTTAGATTTTAGCAAAAAAATGTTCAAAATCACTTTCTCATCCCGTCTGCAACTTGCAAACGATTTACAAGAATCAGATTTGAAATATTAGTTTGATTTGAACCATGTTTCTTTATTAACCCCTTGTCAGTGTCGCCTGAATCCAGTTGGGGCAACTACTACGTGCAGTATTTCTGATGCCGCTATTTTGTGAAGTTCGAGCTGAGTTCGTTTCCACTTTAGGATACTTAATTCACTATTTTCCTAATAGATGGTATTAGTAGTTTTAGTTTTTCACCAATTACGACTTCAATCGAGGGAGGTAAAATGTGGGTGATGCAAAGACTGCGATATGGGCTTGTGTGCAGTACCATGTTTTGGCATATTCCATAGTGTAAAAGATTTGTAAAATTTATTTATTGAAAATCATATTGTTGTGCTTTTATATTATATTACACTAGTTGTATTGTATTTAGCTTCAAAATTTTGTTTAATTTGTTCTAATTGAATTAGATGTGTGTGTAATCCATAACTTTTTTATGTGTATGTAAAAATTATAAATACAATAGTTATTGCATTTAAAATTTTATTTTTTTAATAAAAAGCCATTTTCTAACTTTTATGATAATATAAAGAATAAAATTAAACAGTCAAAAAATTTTTCCATTTTTGGTCCATTTGTCTGAAATATATTTTGCTGTTAAGAGGTTAAACTAACGTTAAAAATAGTTGCAAAGAATTGCTACCAACTAGTGTTTTTTTTTTTTTTTTTTGTATCATGCCACTCACTACACTATTTTTTTTCCTCCAAAAAGTATTGCGATACAAACTAGTTATTATAATGCTTTTTAAGTCTAAATTTCTCTTATAACATAATTAGGTTTTTTTTTTTTTAAATTATAATATGGTTTTTTTTTTTAAACTAATACTTTAAAATTACTTAGACTAAATTACTTGAACCAATTTGTGTTCATGTTGTCTTGCAGTAATGTTTTGTTAATCTTAAATGCTATTATTATATTTTTGTTTCAATTCATGGTATAAATTTACAATTCTTTTCTTAATTTTTAATCAGCCTAAATAAAGTTTGGTTTTCAAAGTAAATTTTCAAAACTAAATATTCATTATTAATGATAAATTTGTTAGAAATAAAGATTAAAGTGCAAAAACAATGCTAGTTGACATTTTGAAAATACTAAAATTTTCTGGTTTGAGATCTATTGTTAGTTAATTAATTTACTTCTCTACATCAAAGTTTTCAATGTAAAAAAGGTATTAGGTCACAGATTCCTTGTGTTTCTTTGCAACTATCTAAATTTATAAAAAGGAATGCCGGAAATTTAACAACTAAACATATCACCTCCAAATCTTCATTGATATATTCAATTGTGTTAGAAACATATTTTAATGGTTCTAATGTGTTGTTTCTATTTAATGATAATTCTGAATTTGACTTATTTTATTCCAATTTTACAGGTTGGAATTCGTTGTTTAGAAACAGGGGTTTTAGGTGCCTACTATAATGTTACAATTAACGCTGAAGGAATTAAGGATGAGAAATATAAAAATGGAGTATGTAATTTTTTATCTTATCTGCACTATATTTTGTTTTTAATATGTATGTCTTTTCACTCTTTTTTTTTTCTTTTTATCTTGGTAATTATGCCACACACATATTGTAAGGTTCGTCTTCTTTAACCTTGAGTGCTATGTTTATTTAAGATATCTGTTTTTATATAATAGAAATCTGTTCTATTTATCTTAAATAAAAATAACATTGATTAGATATGTTACTTCAAGGTTTTTTTTTTTAATTTTTTTTTACATGAGATGACTATTAATTTGTGATTTTATCCTTAGATTTCACTTAAGCAATTTTACATAAATAATTTAGTGGTCATTATCAAAACAATTTAATAAAGTAATTTATCAATTGATAATTTTTCCTAAATATTTTATGGATCATTATTAATGAATTTTAATTAATAATGATCTATAAATTTAATTAATATTAAAGTATGAAAACAGTAGTAATATCTCAGGGAAGACCTTGAAAATTCAGGGAATATAAAATTGGCTTCAAAACTTCATGGGAAATGCCTTATAAAAACCTGGGAAAATGTAATTCCTTAAGCTATTTTTAACATAAAATTTTAAAAAAACATAATTTTTAGTTAAAATCCTTTTCTGTAATAAAGTTTGATAGTTTTCAAATGCAAAGGTGTTACAAGGTCCATTCCTTAAATAAAGATAAAATGTATCTGTGGATTCCAGACATCATGTGTTAAACGCATGAGGTAAGAATATGTCCTAGTCTTGCACAGATGTGTAATGTCACAGGTAGAACGATAAGCAGTTTCATTCTTACAAGTGATGATGGCACTGTGCATTTTAAAGGAAAAATAAACAAAGATTGGTCAGTGATTTTTTTCACTATATTTATTCTTTTCAACCTGGCAACCATATGCCTCTGGCATAGGTAAACAAACAAAAAACAGTGTGTGCCATGTGCGCCAATTTGCACTAAATGTTTTTTCCTTTTCTTGATAGTTATTTTTATTCTTTATTGATGACTTAATAAATTTATTTAATAATAAAATAAATTTTAAAAAATTAACTGTAAAAGTAGTTTTAATTCAGAACAAACTGTTACTAGTCCACAACTATAGAAACAATTGTCCACAAATTGTTTCTATAGTTGAAAGCATACAACCGAACTTTACAAAGTGTGCCAAAAGAGTTCAAGTTTCATTAATATCGCAAAATGGCCCTGTGCCCTGGGGCCTAGAGCTTTCAGGAGGCCCTTGAAGATCTTACTTTTTATAAATTGTATTAAAAATAACTAAGAATAAAAAAAAAAACATTGTATTATATAATTTTTAAAATAAATATATTCCCATTTATAAAGTGTGTAGTTTTTTTTCATACAAATAGTGATTATCATGCAAACACCAATAATTTGAACAATTTATCACCTGAAAAACTTAAAAAGTCAACCAGAATCTATTTTTCGACGTTAAAATGAAGTTTTTAGGTACTCAATTCTCTAAGTCATAATGTCTCTAAATATGTTTGACCACCACCAACTCTGTTTAGTATTTATAATTAGTTAAATAAAGTAATAATTAAAAGAGTTTAGAATTACACATGGGATAGCATTTTTTAAACTGATGGTGTCTGGTGTGGGTGAAAGATGTTTTAATAACGGACTTTCATAGTTAGACGAAATTATTCATACCTTTTGAAAATTTTCATTTGTTATTCCCTTGTGTGTTTTTTTTTAATTGTTTTAATTACACTCTTGGTTTTGAAAATTATTTTATTATTTCAAGATCACAACTGGTTAGCATCTAAATTTCTTTTTTCTTTTTAATTATGCATAAATTGAAAATTATTTATTTTATGTGCAATCAGTTTTTTGGCTATTTAAAATGTGTTTTTCTTCTTCTTCTCATTGGCACGACATCCACGGCTCATTGTCCAGGTCTCACATGCGTATGTAAGCACTGATCGTATAAGACATTTATAGAGTAACACTTTTGTTTTTCTTTTTATTAGGCTTGACTTAAGGTATTTTCTTAGGCCATAAAAATACTTATTGGACATCGTGATTCTCGTGTGTATTTCTTGTGTAGTGTCATTTTTGTTGTTAATCTTAGACCCCAAATAGGTGAAGCTATCAACGGCTTCGAATTTGTATGCTCCAATTTCAAACTGTGTTTCTTTATAGCCAGCTTTTATGCAGGACATATATTTAGTTTTATTTTCATTGATTCTTAATCCCATCTTAATGGCTTCCTTCTCCAGACATAAAAAGGATTGTGTTAGTGCTGTCTGCGTTCTAGCGATAATATCTAAATCATCAGCAAAAGCCAATATTTGAACTGATTTGTTGAAGATATTTCCTCGGGTGTTGATGTTTGAGTCCCTTACTATTTTTTCTAATGCTAGATTAAAGAGAAGACATGCCAAGGCATCTCCCT